TTTCAAGAGGAAGTTTAGTTTAAGAGTATGAGGTGAAAGAAAGAGTCCCCACTGAATAGTTCTCACCTTGTCTAGATGGGCTTCGTGGAAAGAGTTGGGGATAAGATTCTTCTGATTCATTAATAATTGTTATCATGACTAATTGTGAATGTCATAACTGCAAAGGTAGAAGTTTTTAACTTATAGTCCAGAAACAGAGGACCCTAAGACCACCAAGGGAGAAGAGCACAAAAGGAATGTGGGACCCTATCCAGAGGTGGAGGCAGAGATGAGGACACGGAGAGAGGGAGCAGCTGAAGACTCTAGATTCATGGGAAGGAGGTTCTAAGAGATGGCAGCCAGGAGGCAGACTTGCAGAATGTGTCTTTTGGTGGTTTAAATTGTATATTCCTTAGTGTTTTTGTGTACACACACCCCCACCAAAAAAACAAAATGAAACAGGTTTCGCTTTGTAAGACATTGGCAGACTGTCTTGCAAAGTGACTGTACTATTTTTCATTCCCACCAGCAATGAAGGAGAGTTCTTGCTGCTCTATATAATTATTGTTATTTTCCGGGGCACCTGCAAATGCTTAGTATGTTGTTAAGTGCCTTCGAGTCAGTTCTGACTCGTAGCGACCCTGTGTAGGGTTTCCGAGGAGTGGCTGGTAGGTTTGAACCACCAACCTTAAGGTGGCTTAAGCTGACTTTTTGGTCCAGCACATTATCCTGCAGCACTACACCAGGTCTTCAATGCTTAGTATAGGCAATGTATAAGGAATAGCATGACCTGATCAACTGGGTTATTGATTTAAGTCATTAAGAACCATAGAATTCAGAGGAAGAGGAGGCCATGCATTTTGGGTTTTTAGAGGGAGGGTTCATAGTGGCAATAGCATTTGAGATATCTATATTTTGTTATTTCAACTGTAGTAGTGGTAAAGGACTAGGCATAGGACATGACAGAAAAAATAATTTAGAAGTAGAAAAAGTAGGGCTTGCTTGGTTTTGTCTGGATACCATGTGACTTCAGTAGAAAGTTTGTTGTCTGATTGGAAAGCGCCTAGTTGATTCTGATAGCCCAACGAAGAAATGGAAGAGCATAGTGATAATCACAAAAATGGTTCAACTATATGCCTACCACTTAAGAGTTGGGCCACTACTTAATTACCTAAACCCATCATTTGTTATCTCTAAATAATAATGTTGATCTTAAATACTGTCCAGTCCATTCTCACTCTTAACAACCCTGTATAGGGTTTCAGAGGCTGTAAATCTTTACTATAACAGAAAACTTCATCTTTGTCTCACAAATGCCTGACCACTGACCTGTGGTTCATAGTCCTGTGCTCCCCTAAATAATGATACAATTGCTAAATTATTGGAAGATGATACTTGTGAATCTTGGCTCATTGTAGACTCTCAATATTCTTTCCAGTCCCCATTTTAACCTTTATTCTGTAGATAACCGGTGATGGGTCACTAAAGGATGCCTTTGAATCATATAGTTAATAAGACTGTGCTGTAGGAAAATTTATCTGCCAAAGGGTCAAATGAAGAGATGATAAGCATGGGGAAACTAGTTGCTTAGTGTATTAGAACATAAAAGAGGAAGACCCTCAGTGAAATGAATTGACACAGTAGTGGCAAAAATGGGCTCAAACATAACAATTGTGAGGATGGTGTGTTTCGTTCTGTGTTGCATAGGGACGCTCTGAGTTGGAACTGACTCAGCGGCACCTAACAACAATGGGGGTACATAGCAATGTGATGGCAGTGGGAACAGAGAACAAGGATAACATAAAAAATAACTTTAAAATACAATGACAGCATCTTCATAAGTAAACAAAAAGAAAATAGTATCCTAATGCACGTTTACCAAAGGGTTTATCACATTGAATTGTAATTGCTTTTCACTTGTCTCTTGCCCCATCTGAAGCTGTCTCCCTTCTCCAGATTTATCAGTTACTTCATCTTTTTTATCTTTGAGTACCAGAAAGGCTGTGTTTTTGTTAGGGTGGTGGTGGTTTTATGTGCCATGGAGTCGGTTCCGACTCACAGCAACCCCACGTAGGGTTTCTGAGGCTGTAAATCTTTACTGGAGCAGAAAGCCTCATCTTTCTCCCACAGAACAGCTGGTAGTTTCGAACTGCTAAGCTTGAGGTTCACAGTCCAATTCTTAACCACTACGCTACCAGTAGAGAGGTAATAAAGAATTTCAAATGCAGATTTAAACTGAATATCCTTAAGAGTCCTAATACATATGAGCAAATTCCTTTCACAAAAAACTGTGCCAATTGATATTTCCACCACTATTATTAGAATACTTATAACATAAGATATTGGACTTCTGGTGTGGCACTGTAGGATCGGCACTGGACTACGAACCACAGGCTTCCACCTGCTCCTCAAAAGCCATGTACAGCATCACTGTGAATCAGAACTGACTCAACAGCGCTTGCCCACAGCATATAAGGTTATAGTCATTAAGTTTTTTTTATCAAAATCTGTAAACTTATAGTGGTTAGCAAAACAACTGTACTAGACCAGTGCTTATGTTGTTGTTGTTGTTAAGTGCCGTAGAGTCGGTTCCGACCCATAGCGACCCTGTACAGGGTTTCCGAGGCTGTAAATCTTTACAGGAGCAGAATGCCTCATCTTTCTCCCATGGAGCGGCTGGTAGTTTCGAACTGCTGGCCTTAAGGTTCGCAGCCTGATTCGTAAACACTACGCTACCAGAGCTCCTTAGACTTAGAGTACCCTAGTTTTTCTTCTTAAGCTGCTTTTTCTCCTTGTTGGTGTAAACTGTTTCACTGCGCATAGATTAAATAGAAGTTTATTACTAAATATTTTTCTACTGGGTTTTTTGTGTTTTTTTTGTTTTTTTTTTTTGCTTTTACACAGTGTCTATTACAATGCAAGTTAAGTTTTTGAAAAACATTAAGCGTTTCTCCTAAGATTTTAATGAAGGGTTTCGTTGGGAAATCAAAGGAGAAATACATTCGAGATTCCAGAGTTTCATTAAACACTCACAACCCATTGTTTTTGTTAATTATTGTTGAAGTGGTTCCGACTGGTAGTGACTGTGTAAAGGGTTTCTTACGAGCAGCTGGTAAGCTTGAACTACCAACCTTGTGGTTCAAACTGTACTAACCCACAGCACCATACCTATATTCCCACAACCCATATTGAGGTTGATTAAGCCATTGCCATTGAGTCATAACGACCCTATAGGAACCAGGTAGAATTGCCCCACAGTGTTCCCAAGACTGTAAATCTTACAGAAAGCAGCCAACTGCATCTTTCTCCCACAGCACAGCTGGTGGGTTCAAACCACAGACCTTTCAGTTAGCAGTCAAGCATTTAACCACTTTATCTCCTGGAGACTGATTAGAATATTTTGAAAGTTTAATTATGGGAAAAAAATTATAAGATCATAAAGGACAAATGGTGGTAACATAAAATAATGTTGTCTTTATTCATTTTATCTAGTATATAATGACATTTCTTATACCAGATACTATGTGGTCATGGGATTCTTGTCTCTGAGATACTTATAGCTTATGCAACTTTGCAAGTAAAACTGTATTTGTAGGTGGAAGCTATTTCTTTTTCTGTGGTTTTGTTTTTATTTATTGTATTTTATTAAACTAAGCTTTATAGGAGTTTTTCTGTTATCTCTATAACCTACCCATCTTGTTCAGATTGAAAGTGATGCTTCTAGTACTAAATGTTAATAAAGTGTTTAAGGACGGAGTGAGCAGTCAGGAGAGAACAAGTCAACCTTTCTTGACCTTCCTCTTAAAATGGGTGACCCTCAAACTGAGCCTTGAAGAATGACTAAGAATTCAACTGTCAAGCAAGGGAGCAAACGCATTCATGAAGGAAAGCAGAGCCAAATCAGCATATCCCAGGAATTATTAGTTTGCTGTGCACCTCAACCCCTAGGAGCACATTTTACAAAGATGATTCTGGTCAGCCTGTGGAGGGCCGAGTACTCTGAAGTTCAGGAGCCCACCAAGAAGGCAAATACAGGCAGAATAAGAAATGATTCAACTGTTAGATATAATATAGGTAAGGTAAGATTTGGGGAATACAGGGATGAGGAAGATTATTATATAATTGAAGGGATTATAGTCAAATGGGACTTTAGCTGTGAAAACAAAAATTCTTTGTTTTCTAACTTTTCTGTAGTGGCAATGTATTGCTTTCTGAATGGAAAAAAAAAATAAGACACTTTTGCTAAGGTAGGAAGAACTGGGTAAAAGGTCCCACTTCTAGTATCTGATAGGAGATACTCAATGAAAATGTGTTCTATAGAGACATTTGTGAATCATTACTGTGTAATTTCAGAATACCATATATGAAAACTATGTTTTAATTTATTTCTGTACATTTATGCTACATATGTTTTTACAGAGGGTATAAAAAAATACTTGGCGGAAAACACAGAAAATCAAGTATTTCTGGTAAATGACATCAAGTTGGTTCCAAGTCTTAAAGGGTTTGAGTGGCTAGTGGGTTTGAGCCACCACCTTGAAGTTAGCAGTCCAGTGCTTATCTTACAGTGCCACTTTAAAATTACTTCAGAAAGTTGGCAGTATAGCCATTGCTAGACCCAGGATCCAAAAGCCTGTATTCTAAAAGCAATAGTTATTCTGTTTTCTTCTGATTTTATTACGATGTTGTGACCAGTGTACACATCTCATAGTCCACCCTCCTCTCAGTGTATTACGTATTTTAACGAAAGGAAATGGGCTGGGGCAAATTAGGCATATTCTTTTAGTATGCGCTATAATATGAAAAATCAACTAGGAAAAGGTATATATCCTTTTTATCTTGTATACTGTTGTGCTTAGAAGGTATTATAATAGTAATACTATTACAGTAATGGACATTTATATTATACTTGCCAATTTTTAAATTACTTTTATCTAAGTGTTTCATTATAATATTTATACAAGTTATTTTCATGTATAATATCTTACTATCTTTGTAATAAAAAAAACAGGAATTACTATTCTCATTTCAGAGATGAAGAAACTAAAATTTAGAGATTTTTGGGGGTAATATATAGTACAGTTCGGACTAGAATCCAGGTCCTTTGATCTATTCAAGAGTATTGTACCATGATTGGAGTTCTTTCTTTCTTTCCTTCTTTTTTGACCACTAGGTGGTGTTAATTTGTTAAGAGGAAACATTGAATAATCCATGTTGAACTTGGTGTAATATATATGTGTGTATACACACACACACACACACACACACACATATATATATATGCAGCTCTGGTAGCATAGTAATTACGAATCGGGCTGCCAACCTCAAGGTCAGCAGTTTGAAACTACCAGCTGTTCCGCGTGATAAAGATGAGGCATTCTGCTCCTGTAAAGATGTATATAGCCTCAGAAACCCTGTGCAGGGTCATTATGAATCGGAACCGACTCCACGGTACTTAACAACAACTATATATATATATAGGGGAGTCCTGGTGTGGTGGGTGGGTTAATGCACCAGACTGCGAAGCCATTTGAACTGTAAGCTTGAGCTCACCAGCTCCTCCTCAGAAACCCTATACAGGGTCACTATGGGTTGAAATTGACTTGATGACACTTAACAACAACTAGGTATAGGGAGTCCTGGTATGGCACTGTAGGATAAGCACTGAACCACAAGATCAGTTTGAACTTCGAGGTGGGCAGTTCAAATTCAGTAGCCCTTCCTTGAAAACCCTATACAGGGTTGCTGTAAGTTGGAATTGCTTGATAGTACTCAACAACAACAAAAGCCCTTAAATAGTGTATATGAATAGAAGGCACTCAATAAATATGAGTTCAATACAATTTTATAATTTTGTAGAAAGCCTTTCAAATCAGTATTACATGAAAAAAAATAATAAATGTATAGTGAGTTTAACTGTTAAATTAATTGTAAAAGATTTTGGATGACTGCTTTATCTGTGTCTGTTTTCCACATTTTGCATAATGGGTGTGAATTAATATATTAATTGTATAACAAAATAAACGAAAGGTTAATTAGAATTTTCCAAGGTGAGGCTTAGTTCCAAAATTTCCAAGCTGTCTTTTCCTAACCCCAATTCAGGGCTCCTCTGAAGTCTTCAGGCAACTCAAACTTGGGAAGTAATACTTGACTTTGAGCATATTAGTATTTTAAACAAGTTTCTTTAACAGCAATGATCAGAACTTAAAATATTTGAAATTGCTGCACAACCTTTCGTTGTTATTGTTGTTGTGTGCCATCAAGTTAATTCCGACCCATAGCGACCCTGTATAGGGTTTTCCAAGGAGCACCTGATGAGCTTGAACTACCAACATTGTAGTACAGACAACTTTGTAGTCTGGCGTATTAGCCCACAGCGCCACACCAGGACTCCACAACCTTTCATAGTGGACAGTAAATATTTTGTTTGTAATATACATATTATCGAGTCCTGGTGTGGCACTGAAGGATAAGCACTTGACTGCGAACCACAAGGTCAGCAGTTCAAACTCATCAGCTTCTCCTCGGAAACCCTATACAAAGTCACTATAAGTCTGAACCAACTCAGTGGTACTTAACAATAATATAGGTATTATATTAGTGGTTGGTGCCCTTTAACTACTAACCTTGGGGTAAGCAGGGATCTTAAAATAAGATTTCAAAACTCCTATTCAATTCATTATAAGCTTGAATTATGTTCTTTCTTAGGATTTTACCTTCAGGTACGTTATCTTTGTTTAAGTATAGTTTTATTTTATAGTTCCTGTTTCATTTTATTTAAAGAGTTAATAAATGTCAGATATACTACTTTTAACATGTTTTACTCAACTTGTTAAGTGTATTTTGAAATATTAACTCCCATGTTATTGTTAAGTGCCATGGAGTCAGTTCCGACTTATAGCCACCCTGTAATAGGGTACCTGAGGCAATGAATAGTTACAGATCAGCAAACCTCATCTTTCTCCTACGGAGCTGTTGGTGGGATCCAACTGCTGACTTTTTGGTTCACATTACAGGGCTCATTGTACACAGCCACCACGCTCTCCTAGAGATAAATCTTAAAAGAATACAATATTCAATTCTGACTGACACATTGCCTTTCCAATTCCAACCTTGTTTCTCTCCCTCCTTCCAAAACCCGGCCAACTATAAATATACATTATAATCATCATAATCCCCAAATATACATTATAATTACCAACTATAAATATACATTATAGTCATTACCTACAATAAAAGACTATTTGGTATTTACCTACTGGAACAGTATATTTCTTGCTACATTTAGATGCTCAAATGGAAAATTAAATTCAATAACTAGTCCCTTGTGTTAAATTTTTTTCTAGTAGAAAAAAATGTGCACAAAGTCCCTTTTCATCTTAATGTCAAAGACTCCAAGGCAGCTGGTGAGAAATTGAACATTAGCTCACTAGATTATAAATGGATAAGAGACGTATATTAAATCTTAATACGATTTCGATTAGCACGTCTTTAACGTCTTTATTTGATGTAAATTTTGCATGAGGATCAGTGTCTACAGGATGCTTTTATGTGTGTTTGTAATGACATTTCATGTGTAGGAAAATGTTTCCATTGTTCTAAGTGGCTGGCAAAATCAAGGGACCCTAAACTCAAGTAAGTGATTAGATCATCCTGGACAATAAAAATTATTGACTGTTGTTAAGTGCCTTGCCTTCGTGTTGCCTCAGACACAGTGACGTTATGGACAACAGAACTGCCGAGTCCTGCGCCATATTTACAGTTGTTGATATGAATGAGTCCATTACTAGTGCCACTATGGCAGTCCAGCTCCTTGGGAAGTCTTCCTCTGTTTTACTGACCCTCTACTTTACCAAGAATTATGTCCTTCTAAAGGGAGTGGTCCCTTCTAATAGCATGTGTAATGTATGAGAGATGAAGTCTTGGCCATCCTGGCTACTTAGGAGCATTCTGGCTA